GGTGGGGAAGCAGCTGTGGTGGGAGCATTCACTCTTGTTGCAGCCCTTGCCGGTCTGACCCTGCATGACATCTGGAAACAGAGGCCTGCAAAGTGATGGGAACTGTCCCACACGCCTCTTTTCAGGAGGCATGGCAGAGTTGAATTGAGAAACAGGTAGAGTAGAAAAGCATGCTTGCCAGCATTATGTTACACAGGCAGGTGCACTGTTTCAGCTCTTTCCAGTTCAGCTCCAGTGTGCCTCTTGACAATAGAGATGTGTGGGGCAGTTCTACCTGGTGGCAGTGGCATGTCCCTCCAAGCTGCTGCCACTTTGGGATGTAATTGCCTTGCGTGCCTGGGTTTTCAGGGGGCACGTGGAGCCCCACTGAGAAGGAACTGTAGCAGAAGTAGTGTGGCTGCCTGTATAACGTAATGCAGTCAGACACGCCACCACTGCTGCAAGTCCTTTCGGTTGGGCTCTAAGGTGTCTCTTGAAAACCAAGGTGCATAGGGCAATTTCACCTCACAGCAGGTTCTCATCCTCTGTCATTGCAGTCTGCGGAAACACATGGGTGTAACTTCCTCCTAATGCTTAGCTCCCTATCAGTATTTTTTTGTACAGACCTCTAAAGCCAGACGTAGGAGAGATGGATCTGAAAGCACAGGAAGTGGGTCTTGGAGAGTGTGCTTAGAGACAATTTATGGCCATTCCTTTCCTGATTCACTTTTTTTTTCTTTCTTTCTGCTCCTAGTCAAGGGCTGATAATATTCATAGCCTCCAAACTCCTTTTGGTTTTGTATTTATTCTCTCCCTTGAATTACGTTTTGCTAGTCTGGGTTTCTTCCTCTCTGATTCTTTGGTGTTCCCTTTCTTTCTGAATCCACTCCCTTTCTTTCATCTGGCTCTTGCCTTTTACATAAATAAATGCATGATTCAACTAATAGAGTGTTTACATGTTGCTATGTCAGCTCTACCACCCTGCAAGTATCGCCAGCTTCCCTGCCTTTTTTGTCATATAACTTTCTCTGTTCTTTCTTCCCTGTACTTTCTTCTCCATAAATAGAGAATCAACTTCCTGAGTTAGTCCACAAAACCTCACTATTTGCACTTCTTGAAAATGTCTTCTGAAGGCCCACTCCTTCTATGGTGCCAAAAAGAAGCAAGCACGCAAACAAACAAACAAACAAACAGGAAACCCTTTTATTTGTTTATATAAATAATAAACATTATTTTTATAAGACTATATTAAAATCTTTGGTATTCTGTCATATGTTGGCCTTGGGCGAATACAACTACACGGCTTTATTGATGTCTTCCCCTACTGCCTTGTGACTCTGATCTTTGCATCTGAAATTAATCTGTAAGGTCCTTGGGACAGATCATGTTTTATCTCTGTTGCAAGGCACTTATTCATCTCGTACAAGGTGCAAAAATAATAATACACACTGAGGTGACATAATCCATTGATTTTTATTCTGGGATTACCTTGATTTAAGACTGTTTATATGGAAAGTATACATATCTTTTCATATTATATCTTTGCTAAAATTTTTAACTAGTGTGGACACTTGACATGTATTGCAGTACGCTGCAGAAGCCAGCTCATCCAATCCATAATTTTTTTTAATGAAGTTTTTCCTGTTTCATACCACCTTAAATGTAGTAACTGCAAAAGATAACACTTTATTACTAAATTGGCAGATTTCCTAGAATAGAAGTTGTTGAATCTGTCTACTTGTGTCTGCACAGAAGTGTTTCTGTGCTATTTGATTAAAAATAGTTTGGGTGTTCCTACAGCAGAAAAAAAATGATTAACACTGATTCTAGACATGCAATGCTTTAAATAATAAAAAAAAAAAGTAGTAGGAGATTGCTGTTTTTGTTGGCCTTTGATTTGTTGAAATTGTTAATTCAGCAAGGCCAAAGCCTATGCAAGGTAATCCGTAGCATTCTAACCTGCTAATTGTGTGTACAGACAGCAGGGGTGGCCAAACCAGGGTTTACAAGCCTTGTGCTGTTCCTGGGCAATTTAAATTTGGCTGCTGAAAAAAGTCATTTAATGACAAATTATTTGAGCTGGGGTCCTGTGGGGGATGCACATCTTAAATCTATTGTGTTCTGCAGCTCTTAGCCACAATCATATTCTTGTGGCTAGAAGGGTTAAGATGTTTGGCCTCCTATGACATAGTATGACTATATTTACATACTGTATAACTTGGTTGTTGTCCTCTAACTAAATCTAAACAGACACCAATAAATTAAAGTATGTTTCTATACTTGCATCACCTGACATCTAATTTTTAGTCTGTTAAATGTCTCTAGTGCTTTAATACTGCACTCCTGTACAAAGAAAACTTGCATCCTTACATGCTCAGTTTATATGTTAAATGTTTGCCCATTCATGGTGTTTGCTGTTGTTAAATTTTACAAGTCAGGCAGATTGTAATATTTAGCCTTATACAGACTTTGGGGATCCAATTCAGGGATATTATACCTGCAGCTGCAATGCATGATTGATTTTTCTGGATGTTTGTTTGGGGTTTTTTTGTTCCCCCCTCTTTTGTAGAGAAGTCTACAATCAATGTTTTCTTAAACTATTTGAGAGGAGTCAGGCTTGACTAATGATATTTTTGTGATTCCTAATTAATTTAATCCTGTAACAGCATGAATGACCAGCGTCTTGCAGCGCAACTAACCACATATTTACCGAATCTGCAAGCATTTTTGTTCCCTTGAATGGTACCCTTCCAGTTCTAGTGAATTAACTCTGTCTGACTTTCAAGTGAGTTTCTTATCTAGAAACACTGTGAACTATATAAGAATTGCCTTTAGGTAGACAGTGTGAGTGAATGACGGCATTTTAAATGCTCTGCATGAATATCTGTTCTCTTCAGGTTGAGGAGAGAGCTAGCTTGCTGCAGCTCATTTTTAGTGCATTTTTGGAAGAACGGAGTAGGGCTGGGTGGGAGTTCACACCAAAATTAATATGCAAGTAGAGGAGGCTGCTATTATATTAAGAAATGACTGCTAGCTAAAATGGAAATGTTTTCAAACAAGACTGGCTTGCATAGCGTACAACTGGGAAGAGTGACCGCTTATTGCATGCAATTGCTGCAGTATGTGTTGTCATCTGATGCCCTTTATAAAGTAAAGTTATAAACAAGCTAATAATAGGACCACTACAGTTAAGTATCTGTCAGCATCTTCATTAAGCCAGTCCTATTTTCAGGAGTTTGTAACTGTGCCATAAAAATGTTCTATTGGCCCAAATTCTCTCTTGCCTAGAGACGCTTCCAGCCCTTATTTGTATAAATCCGTGTGTCTGCTTATATGGTAGACGAGCATAAATAAGTTTGCCTCTGATGAAAGTAGAAATAAGAGAGTTTTCAATAGCTTAGAGTTCTTCACTCAAAACTACTTTTTGTAAAATGAACGATCAACCTGATATATTGAAAACAATAAAACATAATATATGTTGAAAATTGGAATTGAAATGGGAAAGCTTTACCTCAGCATAGCAGAGAAGCTAAATGAATTATTTGCATTGGTGTTCACTGCAGAATACTGGCCTAGATGGATCATTGGGCTGACCCAGTATAGCACTTCTCATGTCCTTATCTACTGACCAGAGTAGATTCATCTGATTCACCAAGTCCAGGACTTGAAAAATTAGGGCTGACCTAAACTGTAGTCAGGGATTCTGTACTCCCTGATTTGGGCTGTCTTCATCTGTGTAATACCAATCTGTCAATATAGCCACTTCACACATTTTGGACACCGAGTGCGTTCTTTGTGCCACTTGGAGGTGCATGCAGTTTGGTCTGAAATTGTAGTGCCATGTCTGTGTTCAAGAAAGGTAAGTACAAACTGCTGCTGTCCTGGAGATTTGAGCACATCACCTCCAGGATGGTGCAGGCCTCTCTGGAGTCTCGGAATCAGAGGAGTTACCTTACCCACGTGAGCCGCTCCACTGGAGATAGATGTACTGTTTGTGTATGTCAGTATTGTAGGATTGGCCCCCAGGTTAATAAATGTGTGAGCTCTTAAGTTTGGGTCTGTCCTCAGTTTGCATATCTAAAGTCTGATTCTACTGTTCAACACCTTCGTCTCCAGCAAAGTTAAAAGCAGTTGAATGGGCAGCAAAACATCTGAAGGAAGTAGCTTTGGCTTTCTGGTTTTTCAGCATCATTTTTTTTTTAAGGTGGCGGGGAAAGGAGAAAGGGAAGGAAGATTAGAAAACAGGTATCATTTCTAATAAATTAATGCTTTGTAAACAAACTTTTGAATGATGGTAAATTGTTTTTCTCTCCCTTCCTCTACATTCCTAGCACAACTTTCTGAAATTTTTTGGCCATTGCAACGACATTGACCGGGAGATGCGGAAATGTTTAAAGAAAGAGGTAAGTTGTTAATTTAAAAGGCAAGTCTTAAAAAGTTGAAGTTTTTTAAGGTTATATTAGAGTGAGTAGTGACAGTACAGATTCTTTAGTGCAATAAAAATATATAATTAGCTTGTAATGTTGCTTCCATCCTGAATTGGACATGGGTGAGACTCAAGCCTACATTCCTTGTGAGAGAGGCCTGTTGTAGGTGTGCATAGTGAGAGACACGGTTGAGACCCAGCTGCACAGGTAAGGTAGAGTAGAGGCCTCTCTGGCAGCCTTGTTCTAGTAATTAATTGTATGGGCCAGGTCCTGGAAATGGATAATTGTAGGCAGGTCCCTGAGCCCCAAAGAAACTTGCTGAAGTCAGCATAGCTCTTTAAGGTTTTTGGTGTCTGCCTGTGCTGATCTTGTTGCTCCATAAGTGGCCTTGCTTTGATACTTTTTTAGAGAGATCCAGTTAAAGCACTTGTCAAAACTAGAAAATACATTTTTACAACATCTTGTACAAAACAAGGGAACGATCTGTCTTTTTTACCACCTTTCACTTGGGTGTAGCATAAAGGAATTGCTCAGAAACATCTCTGAATCAAAAATACAGAAATATTTCTTCCTTTTCTGTATAGTCCCCCTGGTCTTTTAGTATTGATTGGCAATCTTGCTGTTGCATAAGTGTTTTGCATTCTGTTGGTCCCTCTTCAGCAGAAATGTTAATATAGCCTGAGTGCACGCCATGTAGACAAAGACTACTTGGCGTGATATGTTAATAAGCAGTGCCATTCCACTCCTTGTGCGTGTTGGTTTTTAAACATTGGCCAAAGATTTCCTGTGAACCCAAAATTAGACAGGTATCTAAAAATCTGTTTCCTTGCACAGTAGTACTAACAAAATCAAATGCAAAATACAATTTTGAACTTGCAGTAACAAATTCATATTCCACTGTTGTTTTTAAAAAAAAAAATTGGAGTAAATGCATCTTCCCTTTTTCATAGGACCACAATGTTTGTACATTGCCTAACATAAATGGCAGTGGTTTAGTTCTGTTGGAATAGCACTTAATGTGAGAAGTCTCCCTAACTGCAGTGAAACTCTTCAGTGAGTTGCTGAAGTGGACTCTTAGATGATCCTCTAGGTATAATGTTCCTGCTAAGCTCTCTGCTTATTTGCAGCATTGCACTGCAGATGCAAGAAAATGGTAAACTTGACTAAACAATTAGAAGATTGAAGATATGTGGCAAATTGTCAAATGGGCTATAAACTGATCTTTAAGCCTGTAATTGTCATTCATGTGATACAATTGATGCATGCAGCATTTGTGTGGAGTGGTAGTGTCTGTTTACATGGAGTATTGTGCACACAGTTGCAGATGCCAAATTGGCAGCCAGAATCTGAAAATAAGACTCTGAATTCCTAATGCTGGACAAATAATGTTTGCTTTTCATTATCAGTCAAGTTGCACTTCATCAGCTTTGACTCAAATAGCTTTATACTACAGTTTGAAAAAATGGGAGAGGGCGGAGGGGAGGGGTTAAATGTTGAATGTAAAAATCTTTGAAAATGGTATGCTGATCGCCTTCCTGTATAGTTATGATTATTTTTCTTTCATTGGAATATTCACATATTGCATTTCCTGGAAGTTTGTGTGATATCTACTTCTTCAAACTATGACTACAGCGATATAAAGGCATCACTGTAAAGTCCCTGGAAGGACCAAAGGCTTACTGGAGTAGTTGGGTAACAATTTTAACATATTTTTTCTAAACAGAGTATGTGCTACAGTTTCAGGTGGTGAATATAAATGGACAGCAGGAGGGCATAGAAAACCAGCTGGCTGAAGCAGCAGACTCTAAAGACTATACCAGAGATGGTTTTCTTTTTTGTTCCATATTATTGACATCTGGCAGTTGTGGTTTTGTGGGCTTTTTGGCGCTCAAACCATTTATGAATTCTTCTATTGACTTCTTTCTCACTTTAACTTGTACTCTGTCATTGCAATAATGTCCAAAGCAAACAATTTTTGCTCCAGAAAGTGTGTGAATCAGAAGCCTATACTAATAGGGGAAAATGTAACCTTTCATCAGGTTTTGCTTTTTAAGCAAAAATACAAATACAAAGTGGCAGGCAACCAAATATAGGCAGTGTGCTATGTAAAAAGCCAACACTGAATAAAGTATTTGCCATAATATTCTGCAATGTGGGAAAAGTACAAAGGTTCAGTTGATTTCAAGTGAGGTGTGGATTCACCATAGCTGGTTATAGTAATCTCATATAAAATTTGAACAGAGATCTGCTGAAGTAGGCCTCAGTTAATTTTTCAAAAGAGCTTTCAACTGTATCCTAGTTAATAACTTGCCATTGGCTTTTCAAAATGTAACTTATCTGGTACTGGTCTTCCTTCACTTAGGAAGCTGTGTCCCTTCAGACCCCCTCACATTTTATAGAAGAGGGAAAGTACATCTTGTGTAAGGGGAAATCATGTGTAAAGTGGGATTTATCTGCTCAAATACCACTTGCATGTAATAGTCTCTCAGATAGCATCAGTCTGACATTTTGTAGATATAAATGCACTTTGCTTTAACCACTTCAATCAGTCCTATTTTGGGGAAGCTAAACATTTTTCTAGTAAGAGGTAGTGTAGCATTAGCTCTGAAGCTAGGTTCTGGGAGAATCCTTCTTAGGACAGCATCCAGAGAGAACTATACATTTTTTGCCCTTGATACTTTGGTGTGTGGTTAAATCACATGCACGTGCTTTCCTTCAGGTCAGGAGTTACTTTCATTTGAAATCTAGGGCAAAGTGTACCTTGACTTAAATTTCTTTAGATCTCAAAAGGATTTAATGTTAGGAAAAGTAGTAATATCAAGCCTAGCCGGAGCTGAGAGAGATGCACAGTTCAGAATATGGGGCCCCAAGGTAAGATCTTTACACATTGTTAACTAAACAAAAATGTTTTGAAGTCTGCCTGACAAGATAACTGTAGACTTAGATGATCTGTGTAGTGATTTCTGCTGTATAATCTTCATGGTATAGAGGAGCTAAAAAGTAAAGCTTAGGCTAATTTGCAGTCCTGTTGATCCAATTTTAAAAATATATTGGAAATATGTAAATATCTGTAAGCTTCTGTAGCCGCAAACTAATTGTTTGGATGTTAGAAAAGCTTGTGAGAGCAAGCAGTCATTCAAACGATTAATGTTTCCCTCTTTTCCCCCGTCCCCTACCTCTTACTTCCCACAAAACCCTTAATAAAAAAAGAAATGGCTTGGGTCCATTGATAAAAAGCAGAGGTAGAAGAGAGCTATTAGGTCATCTAGTCCAGACTTGTGCTCATGCAGGATTGTAGCCAGCAGTGCATCTTTAAGGCCATTGTCTGGTCTAGTTTTGAATGTCTCATGGGCAAGAATTTTGACCGTCTCCTTGGCAGGCATTGCACAGCAGTCTGTCTCCTGTTAGGTAACTTCCTGCTTTGAAGACATTTGTCTTTGTTCAGCTCAAGATTTCCAGTCATAATTTTGATTCTGTTGTGCTCCTCTAGTCACCCTAAATGTTCTCCCCCAAAAGTGCCGTGTTCGTGTTTTTTGAATCCTCGTAGCTACCATGTGTGGCCTTATGACTTTGCTACATCACACTTCAGTTCTAATTTCTTTCCCATAAATCAGTGCTTGAGTCTTCCATCCCCAATTCTTTAATTTGGGACAGCCTTTCTCTTCTGGGGTACAGGGTATTCTAGGAGTGTTGTGTGAGTAGCTGTGCATGGGGTTCACTTAAAATGTGAATGAACCCTGGAATGCAACAATCTTGAGGATGCAGTTGTGTATTAACATAAATTGTTACCTGATTTTTACTATGCCTTGTCCACTTTGGAGTTAGTCTTTAAGACTTCCTGTTCTGGACAGCCTCTGTATCTGGGTTGAGTGTGCCTTTTGTGTATGTATTCCAGATTGCACAACTGTATAGAGGTTATTTCTGGCTCTGTCCAGACCATGGGCAATTCCCTAGGCTTCTGGCAGGGTCATTGTAGGCTAAACACAAGGTTTTTACTGTCAGGTTGATGAGATTCTGTTATAATAAGGCCCATCTTGGGAGGAAGGTGGCTTGCCTTTAACTTTCAGAATGAGCTGAGGGATTGCTCAGCCCATGAGCCACTAATGGCACGCTTATAAGCTATGAATGTCTATAGCAAAATGCAACAGCTTTGTTCTTTCATGTTCCCTTTTCAGATGGGAGATCAATCTACATGGACCAGAAATGTACATAAGTTTCATAAAGAAGGCAGGGCAGGGTGGCACTTTAGGAACTGACTGGTTCAGAGAGGTGTAGCTTTTGTAGGTGACAGGCTACCTTAGATGCTGAGAATGGGGTTGCAGAAAGCAGGTGTTCTCAGTAAAAGGGAATTTAAAAATGGAGGATAGTGGGAGGGAGGCACTGATGAGACAGGCAAAGGTGGATTAAATAGGTCAGTAGATAGACACAAAGCAATTAACCCACTGAGGGATTGAGGGATATAAACTATAGATTATGAAGAGGACAGCTTTGTGATCCAGATACATGCCATCCTAGACTGACCATTTAAATTAGACTGGCCCAGTGCTCTGGAACTGGGCTCAGATGTTACACAGATGAACCACCTGTGTGTTTTAAGGAGATGTGAACCAATTACAACTTTATTGTATGCAAGATGGCTGGGTAGTTAGCTTCCTCCAGGAGCCTCATATCCTCAAGTCTGTCTACAATTATGTTGTTGTTAAGTCTCAACATTCATGCCAGCCTGCAAAAATAGCCTTTTTATTATGAAACAAATGTTAATTTCAAAGTATATTGAGATGATAAAACAAAAAGAGCAGGTTCTTTTGTCACTGCAAAAATAACGTCTGTCAAGCAAAGACATTGATTCCCTTCTTGAGTGATAAACCCACTCTGCATTTTAAGTATAATGACATTTTATTTCCCTGTCTGTCTTGCAGTATGAAGCAAACAGAGCCAAGAGCAAGGCACATGCTGAAGTAATGCGACAGAGACAGAGACGGACTGAGAGTTGAACTGTGTGGTAGCTGGACAACTATACATCATACGGAAACGGCTGAAAGCTGAAGGAGTGTTTTATTTTGTAGGCACTTGGATATAGAAAGCTATTTATTCAACTGCTAATGTTTATAATAAAAAATTGCTGAAGTTTACACTTCCCACTTTCAAGATACTAATTGTTTAGTAAGAGATTTAGTACAATGCAATTAACATTTCTGATGTTTGTAGTATAAATAAAGGTGTCGTGATTTAAAAGGAAACCAAGGTTGCTGCAAAATAAGTGTGTATTCTGTTGTCGGACACTGACAGCAGGCTGAGCAATAACCTGGGATATTTAAGTCAAATAAAGTGTCTCCAAAATCTTTCTATCTGGGGCTTATCTCTGTCTTGTTGTCATTCAATACACTGTATATGTTCTATTTCTTTTTTTTTCCTCAACCCTCCAGCAGGAAAAAGTTCATATTCTTCCAGTTTTGTAGTTGTAATTTTGTAGTTTCAAGGTTCTCTGGACCGGTGTCCAATCCTGCCAAGAACAGCTTGAAAAGTGAGGGCATGTCTATATGAGCAAGCTATTGTGGAGTTAAAACGGGTGTGAATTTTCAGAGCACAAGCTGCTACTCACTAACACCCCACGGACTCTGTTGGTATGAAGAGTGCTTTTGTGCAGTGTAGCTTGCTTCATTTAGGACATGTAGTAAGTTATCAGAGATGCTTCTCATGCTAGTTGTAGACTGAGTTGCTTTGTGCTGACCTGAGCATTCAGGATCAATAATTAATAACACAAAAGTTATTAATTCCCTTTCCTGTTTAAAAGAAAAGCTTCATCCATGGTGCTTTGACTTGGCTGAGCACTATTGTGCTGGGAACTTAAAATATTTTTAACCATCTTCAGTATAACTGAGCTCACCCTAGCTATAGCTTTTAGGCACAAGAGCATACAGGAGAAATGATGCAACATATACTGCAGCACCATTGCAATAGAAATGTTACTTGTTGGACACATTCCCTGTCTGCTCTTCCCCAAGTTGCTCCACCACATTTGACTAAGCATCTTTGTCTGGGATAGCAGAGCTGTAACATGAGGACCTGGATTTGCTTGAATTGGTTCTGTTTTGTGCCCAAACTGTATAATCCTATGAAGCTCTTTTCAGGAAAAGTCTGCCTGAAATCCAATAGATGTACTCTTCTTTTTTTTGGGCAGTTTGGGTAACTGTATACACACGTACACACAATGCATAACTGTAAATCAGTTCTTGAGTCTATAGTTGTGTGCCCAACTTGAAAATCAGATGCATTCAAAATAATTACGTATATAAAATATTTAGCGTTATTAGGGGGCACCCTCTCAGAGATGATGAAAGAAATATGAATATGTGCTAAAATATGCAGCAGGAAGGTTAGAAATTATGCATTCCGTAATTGCAAATCACTGTAATATAAGTGTTTCTGATGTGTTATTTATAGACTGTGGTATAACTACACCACGTTAATGAAGTGAATCCAATAAGTGAGCATTATTTAATACTTGCACCTCTGTTGTAAAGAGGATGCTTGATGGTAGATCTGAAATTCCATATTCATTTAAAATCCTGTAGAATACATAAAATTAGATGAGAAGAAGGCAAAGCTGGGATAAGAGACCTGCAGCGTTTTATTAAAAATGCTTATTAATGTTTATGTTTAAGTGAGAGGGAGTCTCTAATTAGACAGTTAATGGATTTCAGGATTGTAAATCTAAATTATGTTCTCCATTTTATTGATATTCACTGAAAATAAAATGCGTAGCAAATTATTTCTGGCAGTTTCATTAAAATTGCTGAGTATTTGTAACTAATATGGAGACTTTCACTTGTAATTTGCTAATTTAAATACTGTTCAGGAAGATAGCCGAAGTAGAGTAAAAGTACCTGACAGCTGTCTGGGGGCCTGTCTGGTTCCTAGAAGGTAGATGTTCACATAGCTGAAGTTACTCGCCACAGCTTTAATGGGGATGCTTGTAAGTCGAGCTTGATTATAAACTTATCACTCGAACCAGAAAGACAAAGGCTGCTTACAGATGTTTAAAGAAAAAAGACTCTTTAAACTCAGCACGTGAGTGCGCTGAACCCAGCGCGTGCTTAGAAGAGAGGCACTGCGTTACTTGGATCCAGCTTGCCCAACATGTGCATACATCAGGCACTTCAGCAGGGCTTTTTTGGGCATCAGCTATTAGATAAAAGTGCCAAAAAGCCCCACTAAAGTGCCCAATGTATACAGATGCTGCAGAGCTGGATTGAACTAATGTGTTGCTTCTTCTGGCAAAGTGCGGGGCCTTTTTTTTTACGCCTGGCAGCAGCCACAAAGGCCTAACATTTAAAAAAAACAAACCAAAAAAAAACCATTTTACATTTCAGGGAACTAACTGTGCAGAAAGCTCTTTTAGAAGACACATTATGTAGAAAAGATCACACTTATGTCTTCACAAATTTCATCCCCAGTACGGTACTTAACCACTTCTAATCTGGTGATTTGTTTTGGCTGGGGAAGGACTAGGGGGAGGCTGAATGCATCAAAGGGAAAGTGTTGTGTTCTACTAGGCTGATGTATTAGTTGCTAACAAAGTACTAATGCTATTAAAGGCTTCCTCTTCAAGAAGCTAAATAAAAGCCACCCTGCTTCTCCCCTTCCCTCTTGCACCAAATGACAAGCTACTACCCCAAGTGATCATAACATGCTGTTGAGAGAATAGATTAGAGAAAAAAAATCTTCTGGTGGCATGAAATCCATAGCTTTAACCATCTCCTTGAATTTAAAAGAAATCCTTTTGCTGTGGAGGCATGATTGCATTTTTATAAAAGCTTGCTGAAAATTAGCCTCGACCTTCACCCATGACAACTTGGGGCAAGATCATTTTGGTTGTGATTAAATATGCAAAACACAAAGCTAATTACTCCTCCGAAGCCAACTTGATACGGTTGTTTCCCACATTTTGATCACTAAGCTCATTTTTGTTTTCCTTACACAGTTATTTCCTTTCAAATGGCTGTTTTGAAATGCAAACCTTAAATGGTAATTGGACTACTTTCTAAACACAATTTGTTACATAGTGCATTACCATTAGAAAATTGTTCTCTGAGCTCCCGGACATCTCTTGGTTTTTTGCTAGTTTTTGGAGGCTGCAAGTCGGTACTCTCCATTTGATTTGGAACGTTATAGTTTCCTTAGTGACAATACTTCCATTTAAAAGGTCACTGCATTTTTTTTGTCAGAGAAACCCAGTAGAAATATCCTTTTGGCCCTGCAACGATTACCTCTTTCAAAGATGTGTGCATACGCAAACCCTGAGTGATGTAACTAAGCTTGAAGAAACTGAATCTTATCTTCCAAAATGCTTTTCAGAGATGAATTGCATTTGCCATTTAAATATCTAACTTGAGTTGCATTTAAAAAATTTAGTTATGAACCTGTTGAATTTCAGAGCTGTAGGTAGGCTTTGAGAGACATTGCCCACTAATAACATTATTAGTGTCTGAGTGACTGATCATCCAGACTAGGTGTATAATCCTATTCTATATAGGCTTTCACCTGGCAACTGCCCTGACTGACGGAGAACTTTCCACATGTAATGGAGGAAGAAGGAAAACAAAACAGTGGGAAGTGCCACGTTCTGCTGTGTGGCTAATAATGTTCTTAGGCTGGGGAATACGTGTTGCTGTGGGAATGGACTTTCTCTGTCTATAATGCTGATGCCTGCATGAATGTGGGTTCATGTGCCTTCAGGTGCTGTTGCAGCACATATAATTAACATTAAGAGGTATGGTAAGTAACCCTAACTTCATAAATACCCCTTTCCTTTTTTTGGCTATGAGGTTCAAATACTGAACCTATGGTACTTTTAGGAACAGTAGTTATATCTATGCTATGGGGATATTTTGGAAATAGCAGTACTATGTACAGAATACAGGTGTCCAGTTTGACTGCTGTATTTTTGAAAGTTTAATAGGCTGTTTGAAGTGGTTGCTGCAGTTGCAAGGCCAGTCCAGACAGAAAAGGTTATTCAACAGGTCACCTGCCTTCCTGTAATATTTTATTTTTATTAATGATTTATGCATGTGCAAGCAATATGGTTTATCCTGGGCCTGGCAAAAATGTAGAAAGTAGCACTGTAACAATGTATATCAACCATGCACAACAGCTTGACAGTTGGAAGTATGCTGTATAACCAACTGAGCTATCTCTATCAACTGAAAAGTTATTCAAGTTTCCAGGTTTTACAGCTTTTTTTTAGCCCTTGGAGCTAAAGCCCATATAGAATATCTCACTGTATTTCAGTCTGATGTGTTTAGTTTTACTATCACTGGTAATATATGTAAAAAATTGTTGTATGCAAGCTGTGCTTAATATTAAGACAGATAAAATCTTGCAGATTTTATTTAAAAAAAAAAAACCAAACAGATAAAATCTCCATATTGTCATGTTGAGTCAGGCTCTTGACACTTACTGTTTGGTACCAACGAGAGAGGTGTACAAAAAAGCACCCCATCTAAACAGATAATTTCCAGCACACTCGCAGAACATTTTTTTTTTTAATGGAATTTTTCTCCACCATTGACCTGGGATATATTTGTTTAGATGGAAATATAATCTAATTGTACAACATAGTGTATGGGCTTTCTTGAGAGAGAACTATTTTTATCTGATAAGGGTTTTGTGTTGTTTTAGCTAGGGAAACCTCCAACCAGCCCCTTGCCCACATTCTTATCCTCAGCCATGATGCAGTTGGGCCAAGAATAGATAGCATAAAGGCTAAAGAGTGGCAGCAACAAGGAAATCTGAAACTCACGGCTTGGGTCTTGTTGATACTTGGAAAGAAGACTCGTATCATCTGCTGGGTACGAGCAATGCATCCTCTCCTAAATTGTCATATGTTAGTAGCAATGTTCAAGGCTGGGGGCATACGGCATAATCATGGCAGGTCCAGAATGGGGTAGTTGCACACTTGCAAACAGTGGTGCACTGAAATCATAGACTTGTGGCCAGCCCTCATTACACGTGCACAAATGCTGTCATTTTGTTATGGGGCAGTGGGTCCTGGGCTGCCTCTAAAAAAATAGCTTGTCGGATTTGTGTATCACAGGCACTGGGAACAGGGTCTGCACTCATTAATGAACCAAAGCACCTCCTGTTAAGCAAAATAATAAGGGGGAACCCATCGCCTGGTGACATGTACACTTTTTAATGACCTGCACGTTGCCAGCCTGTGAAGAAATGTGGGCATTAACTTTAGAGGGTTTCATTGAAGGCAGACAGTGACAGAGAATTGGTTGCGTCATGACGATCAGTTAACACACCTATTTCAAAGCATCTTTCCATGGTTGAGCTGCTGCTTGCCTGAGTCCCCACCACCAG